TTTTTTTTTTTTTTTTTTTTTTGGTACCGGGGATTGAACTCTGGTCCTTGCGCTTGCAAGGCAGGCCACCGAACCGCTGAGCTAAATCCCCGGCCCTAAATAGGGTATATTTGTAAAGAAAAAAGAGACATTGCTACTCTAGCTTGTTCATTTACATTCTATAAACTAACTGCTAAATAGCAGTTAGTCATATAGTGATATCACTATACCTAAGTGTGGCTTATTGGGCTAGGGTGAAAGGTAATTCCCATGATCTCCATCTCAGACCAGCTAGAGTATTAGCATTATTTCAGCAGTGTGGGCTGGGCTTTGAAGTCAGGCAAACTAATGTTAACTGTTGTTATGCATCATACACATCCTTCAGATTATTTTCCAGTGTGAAAACCCACACAGACAAAAATCCAGTTTTTCCTTTTGTAAAACTAGGGCTGGATTTTATAATTTGTTTCTGAATCTACATTTTTTGCTCAATTTATAACAAACATTGCTATATTACTAAATATTTTGTAGCACAGAGGCCAAAAATTTAGCTCAGTGGTGCCACAGCCTGCCCCACAAGCACAAGGTTCAGAGTTTGATCCCCAGTACTGGGAAAAAAACATCCAATCAAACCCTCAAGATCTTGAATATAAATATTTTGTAGTATAATCTAGCTGCTGCTGCTTTTCTCTTGCTGCCTTCTGCCCGCTCTGTACTTTATAGTGACTATATAACATTTTGTGTATATTTAACCTTCTCATTTATTTTGAGTCAATTGTTGTCTTTTCCAAAGAACTCTGCCATTAGTAACTTTGTAGATACTATTGTTATGACTTGTGTATAGATGACCCCTCAAAGCCTCATGTGGTCATAGGTGGGGTTTTTCAGAGATGGTTGGATCTAGGGTATGTAATGCTGGGATTTATTTATGGTATGTTGCTAGGATTAAGGCTGTCCCTCCTTCTCCCCTCCATGAGTTCTATCCATCTTAATGATGGGTAGCCTGCATAGGATATAAGGGACAGAGAAGTAATTAAAACATATTAGTTAGTGCTTACTTCTAATTATTTCACCAGTATTAGGGAGACACAGGAGTCTGCAGATGCTAGAAGGTTGATGGGGTGGTGGTAGGAGTCAAGGGTTTTATTCTGACTCCTTCAATATTCTTAATAAATGAGAAAACAATGTTTTTTTTTTTTTTTTTTAGAGTAAGGCAGAGGAGAAGCTGTCAAATGTTTGAAATGAGAAGATATAAAATGTAGTCAATTGTGTATTCCATATATGAAAATTTACTTTCTTGCTAAAATTAACTTGCAACTCCCAAATCAATATTTCTAGGGCTTTTGTAGTCATTTACAAACATGTATTTGCTCAGAGCTACAAAAACTGAGTTATTTAATGCTCCAACTGAGGCGAGGCCCCAACAGTCATTCATGCTTCCAGATAAATGTGAACAAAGCCACACCCTGCATTTCTTGTCGCAGCTCTAATGCAAAAAACAAGTTCTATGTTGCTATATTTTCAATACTATTTGTTTTGCATTTTTTTCTGGTTTATATCAATGATCTTTCTGCTTAAAATACCTCTCCCCAACTTTAGTGATAAAGTACTGTCCAGGGTTCTTGAGTTGAGGAGACTGTGACATGCCATATGGAGGAAATACATATATTGGAGAAGCTTCACCCAGGAATAAGTGATAGTGCCCATTGACCATGAGTTCAATGTTAGGCAATCATTAATATACAATAAATAAGGTATCTTTAAACAGAAACACACACTAAACGACCATGTTCAGGGCCAGGGATTTAGATCAGCAGTACTGCTGCTTGCCTTGCAAGCACAAGGTCCTGAGTTCGATCCCCGGTACCAAAAAAAAAAAAAAAAAGTTATATGCATGTAAGTTGATGAAAATATATCCAGAAGCTCGCAGGAATCTCCATTTCCACTGCAGTGATGGTTCAGTATATGTTAATTCAGCATTCTAAAAACTTCCTAAGGTATAACTCCTGTGAATAATAAGAATCAACTGTACTTGTCTAGAAGAATAGGAGAGTAAATGAACTAGGAAACTATAATGTGATTGTTTGGCAGCTATTTTTGCTCATTTGACTTTAAAGATTATGAAGTTAAAGATCAGTGTGACTGTGTATTTTGTTTAACGAGCATGTTGAAGTCTCACAGAAGTGGGGGAGTTGGGATATATGCAAGAGAAGGATGATAACTATTTTTTATGGTCTATGTCTCTCTCGTTCTCTCTCTCTCTCTCTCTCTCTCTCTCTATATATATATATATATATATATATATATATA